AAATAATAATTCTGTAATTTTTTTATAGCAAAGCTATGGCTTACTAAATATTTTATAGATCAACACGTTGTCTATGATATTTTTCGTATTTCTTTTTTTTTAAAAGCGCAATATCATCGATAACTATGTGCGAATATTGCGTGACTTGTATACATGAACGGCCAACTTTTTCAACTTCGATAAAATATCTGGAAAAAACGCCGGTCACGAACAAATACGTCTTTCAGTTCGATATTTTTCAAACGATCCCATTTAACAAACGCTGGAAAATCAAACCTTTAAAAAAAATAAATAAAATTTACTCGCACTCATATCTTCGAGCTCTATTTCCGTACAGCGGTATTTCGCACAAAAATTCGTTCTCACTGAAATCGAAAGAAGCGAGTGTGTATATATGCGGACCGAATCAAATTCTTGTTTTTCATCAAAAATGGACGAAACGTACCCGTTCGTATTTTTTGGGGACATTATCCTTCGCGAATACGTCAGAAATTTTACGTCCACTGGATTTTAGTCCCTTCCTTCTCGATAGAATTTTCCTGAAATCCCGGTGAGAGAATTCGAGTCCGGAACGTGGACGGCTAAAATCCGAGAAAAATCCGAGTTAAAGTCGTAAGTAGGTACAGCGTGGGACCCCGAGCGTGCACATTACAGGCCATTGAGGGGTCTCGATTGGTCACCGGTGTGGTATACCGCATTTCTGAACGACGATCAGCTGGTCAAACCAGCCGACCGTTCGATGCCCGGCGTTCGTTCGCCCCGGGTGAAAATCCATTCCCGGACGTAAGCCGGTCTGATTACCGCTGTCACGCGCCGTTGTTTCTTGTTTGCCTTTAATCTTTCGCCGCTTCGCTAACGAAAAGTATACAGTTTCCATCCTTGTTGTTTTGTCGCGCTTGTTGAGCGAAGCCTGTCGTTATTCTCCTTATCGAGAACTCTGTCGCCAATTTGCCGAATCTGATCGAAGCCTCGAATTTCCGAGATGAGAAATCGTGAAGAAGATCGAATAAAATGATTTAAATGAATCAACCCTCGATGCCGTTGCCGAAATTTTATAGACACGACGCAGCATCCGCATATCGTGGATATGACATTGTGGAGAAATTATGGCAGCTGGCGGGCGGAACGAGGCTAGTTGCGAAACGACGGGTCCCGGATGGGAGAAAGAGGAGAGGAGAAGGGTAGATTGAGGGTACCCTGGGTGAAATATCGCGGTTTAACGTGACAGTTTAAGGGCGTTAACCCTGGCGACGCTAATGTCACCTGGAATAGAAGGCGCGCTACACTTGTAAAAATAGCGTTCTATATTTCTTCCGCAACGTTTATTAATACGCGTTTCCAAAGTACAAACTGTGTAATGGTAAGATCTGGTGAGAAATGACGTAAATCGCAAGGCGAGAAGGGAAGCGAAGTTTATTTCGAATAGGTACACTGGGGAAAGAAGAAAGAAATATCCGCACTGAGAAAAAATCTGGTTGCATTAATTAAAATTCTGATAGATTCAACCAATATGTCTGTTGGAAAATGGACGAACCAGAATTCTTGTAGGAATCACCAGATAAATCTGATTAATTTCTTCCTGTTAAATTTATCAAATTTTCTGGTTAATAATACTAAACTCGCCAGCACCAAGTCGTTTAAATTTTTTCCATCTAATCTCAAAAGTCTATTTAATATTCTGAATTCCAACATGATTATTGGATAAATTCAAACCAGATTATTGAAAAAATTATTTTAAATTCAGTTTGTTAGAAATTAAACTGATAAACAGTGATGCAAGAAGAGGATGCAGCTCAAACACATACAATCAGAGAGCTAGCGTTCTCTTTCTGGCACTACTGCTCGTAAGAGAAAAAATATATACTTTGGATTTAATGTTAATTCTAATTCTTTATATACATTTCATGGCAAATATTGAATACGAGTTAAGTTAAGAAGCAAGCAAAGAAATTAATGTAACAAGACATTTTATAGATCCAACCAGAAAATACTAACCAAATCCTTATAGTAAAATCTATGAAACGTTCTAGTTATAAAAAATCGAGTCTTATCATAATAACTAAAAATTCTTGTTTGATTTAATCAAATTCCTTCAATCATATACGTCTTGTTGGTATAAGTAGACGATTTTTCTCAGTGCGATAATCTAAATATCCTCTCTGTTTTTTAGGGATTTGTATAATAAAGAAGGCTACTAAATTGTACATATGTTGACGGGAGAGAACTGAAGCCATTCTTTTTATTCTGTCACGAATATCTCTGAAAACGTATCAGCCTGTAATGATTGTAAAACTGGAAGCGCGACAGATTTCTGTCGAAGAGAATAAATCCAATTCTTCGTTGCCATGATTGTGACCCGCACGAATGTGTCTCGCAAGAAATAAAGGAAGGGACCGATGTCTATCATCAGTGGCACGATATGCCCGCGATCGACGGCGAAATGGACGTTTCGCGTCGTATCTGGTACGAAAGGGAACCAATAGTCGGGGTAATTGACCAGCATCATCTCTGCTTGAGTTATACAAAAGCGATTGGACGAGGAGACGCAGATATCTTGTCAGAGATAATCTGAAATAATATCGCCAATCATCGAAAATCAATGTATGTCTGTATTAATACGACTTTCTTCACTTAAAATTATCTATAAGATATCTACCAAAGATACTTGTATCTTCTTTCGGCTCAAACCCGTAGCGTTACATATCGTGTAACATTGGCAACCCTCCAGAGAAAGGATGGGTCGAGCATCAGGCGGCATCAGGCGGCGCTTAATAATAATGGTGATAAAGCAGCCAAAAGGGGCACCCTCGGGTCACCTATTTCGCCGCACAGGAAATGAAACTGTGGCCATATGACACGACTACGTTAAATCCGCCTCGCCCTCCCCCTTTCTCTTCTCTGTTCTTTTCTTCTTTCCCGTCATCCCTTCTTTCGCGACTTCTTTCCCGGTTTTACGGCCCGTTTGGCAGCGGAATCGTCGCGTTAAACGCATCCGCGAATTCGCTGTTTCGAAATATCGTCGCGCCAGCCACCGATTTAATATAATGAGACGATGTTTTCTAAGTATATGTACAGTTGACAGAAAAACTCCCCCGTGTACTCTCCATGAATACCAATAATATTTCGCCCGGTTAGGTTAGATTAAATTTTCGCACACTGAGAAAAATCATTTAATTGTATTAACAAGACGTATATGATTGAAGGCATTTTGGTTCAAATCAAACAAGAATTTCTTATCATGATAAGACTCGATTTTTTTATAACTAGAACGTTTCATAGATTTTACTATAAGGATTTGGTTAGTATTTTCTGGTTGGATCTATAAAATTTCTTGTTACATTAATTTCTTTGCTTGCTTCTTAACTTAACTCTATTCAATATTTGTCATGAAATGTATATAAAGAACTAGTATTAACATTAAATCCAAAGTATATTTTTTTTCTCTTACGAGCAGTAATGCCAGAAAGAGGACGCTAGCTCTCTGATTGTGTGTGTTTGAGCTGCATCCTCTTTTTGCATCACTGTTTATCAGTTTAATTTCTAACAAACTGAACTTAAAATAATTTATTCAATAATCTGGATTGAATTTATGCAAATCGTGTTGGAATTCAGAATATTAAACAGACTTTTAAGATTAGATGCAAAAAATTTTAGACGACTTGATGCTGGTGAATTTAATATTATTAACCAGATAATTCGGTAAATTTAACAGGAAGAAATTAATCAGCTTCATCTGGTAATTCTTACAAGAATTCTGGTTCGTCCATTTTCCAACAGACATACTGGTTGAATCTACCAGAATTCTAATTAATGCAACCAGATTTTTTTCTCAGTGCAGAGAGGGAGAATTTTTCACAATTAGAGAAAAAATTTTTCATTTTTCAAAATTGGAGCTGCGATTCGATATTGATGGCGCTCTAGATAGAAAACATGTCGGACGGCTTAATAATCTTCGTTCGTTTGACGGGGGATTTTTTTCGCTGCCATAACCGTGGATAATAAAAACGCACCAGCCAGAAAAATAGGTACAGTGAGCGACAACGATTTTGTTCTAGGCGGAGCAAGGGGAGCGTAGAACTGGCTACAGCCGCGCTCCCGGCTGATTGGCCAGTTTTACGATCCCCTTGCCCCGCCCAGGACAGAATTGTTGTCGCTCACTGTACCGACCAGCGGCTCTAGCGTTGCTCGGACCACGCGTCCGATTTATATCGGACGAGCGCGAATATTACTTTCGAGAAATTAAACGTACAACGAGAATGTGTCTGGAGGAGGAAGTGTACATAAAGTGATAAAATATTTGTACCGCGTATCAACGATACGCGAATGTGTTTATGTTTGGACACATATTGCTTAATATTTCTCCTCGCCGCAGGGACGAGCACGATGTTTGCATTCAAAACAACGATTTTCATAAAGAAACCGGTGACGTTCGATAAACGACTTTAGCGGCAACATAAATGTTTGCCGGCGAATATGATTATCCGGTTGAAAACCGGAAGCAGAACACGATGTTATAAGCGACGCATGAAAACGGCGTTTCGTTTTGCATTACGTTATGAAATGCAAGCTCATTAAAGCGAGATTAATTAGGTCTCGCAATATCCTTTTCAATTAGCATGAATTACTCTCCGCGTTTATTTTGACATTATTCGAGCGATTGTCAAAATATCAGCCTGCAATGTTTATCGTCCATAATCTAGAACATTTTTTTAACCCTTCTCGCTTCCCTCCATCTCTCGTAACGATATAATTACCTCGTGATAAGTTTTCTCATCTATTAATCAAGGAAACAATCCCGAACGCGATTATATTTACGCCTGCCTCTAATTATCCATGCAAGGATAATAATCATTCGGGATAGTCTCCTGTCGTGGTCGTCCCTTCCGCTCGATCGACCGGAAATTGACGATATCCTGCCGTATTCGATATGTATGGCGAGTTTAGCGCCGCAAAGGGATATATCCTGCGAGTCCGAACGCCAACTGTCTGTCTCTGTCTAGGATTATTTCATCGTGTGGTGTTATCCAGCGGCTCCGCGCTAAGCCCCTGGGCCTCGGTGCACGATCCGAACGACCTCAGGACGAAGATCGGCGAGCAGATGGGCTGTTCGACCGAGGGCGACGATGACATAGCCGATTGCTTACGAGGAGTACCGTTGAAGACGCTTCTGAATGTGCAGCTACCCGAGATCAGGTGAGTCGGATACGAGTCGAGAAAGTATTTACCTCGGACGCGAATAATTTTTTATCCCCCCACCCTTCCGCCTCCCACCGCCAGTGGGGACATTAAAGTAATAAAATATGTATTTCGAAATTGGTACAGATGGAGCGAATTGATATCTCTTTTTCATCTTTTTATTTATGATAGCGCATGCCGCTGTAATAAATATTGCCACGCGCGGAATCGCGTTTGCCATATATATTGCAGGATTCGTATTCATCGCCTGAATATTGAAGTTATGTTTCGATGAAAAGTGGAAAATGCTGGATTGTAAAAAATTCAAGAGGTATGATTGATATGTTGAAAAAAATGACGTCTAGTCAATACGACTGCAATCATACGCTACAAATTTATAATAATTTTATAGACCTTCTTTTTCTCCTCTTAATGGATTATGCGATGGACTGTCAAAATTGCGCGTTCAAAAATTATTTCAATGCTATACAGAATGTCCCGAATTTAAATGTCAAAATTTCAGGAGCGTAGGTGGAGGTTCGATAAACCAAGGAAAGAAAATCCTTTAGAGATGTGCTTGATTTTACTTCGCCTTGAAAAAAATCGCAAACAAAATTTTCATTTTTCACTCTATTTATTTGCACTTGTTTATTCATATCGTCACGTCTTTCAAGATGTTTTGTATGTACAATCCTAGCAAAAAGTAGCTGAAAATCAATATTGACGAATATCCACTTTTGGTGTATTTTGAGTATGAGAAATTGTGTGAAATATAATTTGATCTTAGCTACAGTGCAGAGACGTATTTTTTAATATTTATTGCGTTTTTACTGAAATATTTCGAATTTTGTTAATGGAAATGATTAACTTTTGGCAGAGAATTTCCTTATAACAGATACATGACTAACTTCATTGAATTATATTTAATATCTTTTTAACCAGTTAGTACTTGTATAATATTATTTGACCAAATATTTCCTGTATCTAAACTTTTGCAAATTTTAAACAAATTCTAAATATTATTTCCATGTGTTTTTGTCATTTGAATTGACGTGGTTATACGTTTCTCACAAGAACATATGTTAAGGATGTATTGGAGATATATTACAATCAATGAGAGCGCCGTGAATTTTTAATTTAACATTCTTAATAACATTCTAAATCTCGTCATGAATTATTTCAAATTTTTTTACTTGCTCCTTTAAAAGTTATTAATTTTTTAATTTTGCGATTTTAACATAGGATCTTATGTACACGTTCAAGAGACAGGTAATAAATTATTCACAAACTATAAAAAAACAATGATAAAAATTTCATTTTGTAATATTATATTCTTCATACATGTAAAAATGTTCCCACAAAGTTTTAAAACGATTTACTTGCTCGTTTTAAAATTATTATTAAAAAATAAACTGTGATTATCGGTTTGACGCAATATTAATGATAAAACGTGGCAACATTTTCTTGGAAATTAAGACCTATTTATATTAAAGGATACTTTGAAGTATGATTTCGTGATTTTTAAAAAATTTTTGATCAATTAGAATTCGTATTCTGTCCAACTTTAATTGATATTTTGGATTAACTTTTGAGATAGACGGTCCGTCTAATACATCCTTAATTCGGTGCAAATTAAAATCCTTATAACTTGTGAACGCTTTAGTAAATCGATTTAAAAATTATACTGAAGATTCTAAACATATGTAAGGACATTCTATACAATTTTCATTAAATTCTCAATATTTTGAAAATAGGTACGAAACATCCTTGAAAATATTGTTCAAGATATAAATATATAAACTCAAGTAAATAGGATACAATAATCCTGCGTTGTGTGTATTGCATATTTATAATATTCACAATTCTCTAATTTTACTTCAAGAAAGTTTTAATTCACTTTCTTTTCTTGTTTCCATGCTCTATAACTTTTGATTCTTCTCAAGGAACTTAACAATTTTAATATTGTTTTTTTATGATAACTATTTTTATTCTGTTGCGATTTACTCCAAAATAAAACAAAAATGAAAAAATCTCATAAGAATTTTTCTCTTAGGTTTCTCAGTTTCTCGATCCCCCACACGAAATTTTGACATTTAATTTTAAGACACCTTGTATATGTATTACCGTAATTATGCGTCTATAAAAAAAAACATGCAATTAAATGAGAGTTCAAAAAGTCGCAAAATTAAGCTAGCTTAGATACACTTCGTCGATGTACGTTATTAACGTTAGACCTCGCTTGAAAATATATTTATCGCAAAGTAAAAGCTCGTAATTACAGGAATTAAGCTACTAATTACAGGATAATCACAACACACGTTGAATTATCATCGGATTACCTTCGTCGCATCGAGATAAAGTTATAGCTTTCGCTTCAACGACCCAATACCTGTTTGTCGTATCGATTGTCATCGCAACTAGGGATGTAAATCCCACTGGGATGCTTTTACAGATTCGTGCCTCGCATAGGGCCTAGCCTACCGGTGGACCAAAACAATCCCGATCCAGGTCTGGACATGGAACGCGCGAGCGACTCGTTTATCAAGGTGCCGCTGATCCTGGGCGTTTCCACGACCGAGTCCAACCTCGACTTCAACGCTAACGATATCCAGTACGGCTTCGAGGAGGATCACCGTAACCGCATTCTGCGCACCTTCATCCGTAACGCTTACGTCTACCATCTGAACGAGATCTTTTCAGCAGTGAGAAACGAGTACACGGACTGGGATAAGCCGGTGCTTCACCCTATCATAATACGCGACTCGACCATGGAGGCGTTGAGTGACGGTCACACGGTCGCGCCGCTCATGAGGATCGCCTTCTATCATGCCAGACGGGGCGCCAAGACGTACTTTTATCACTTTAATCATCAGTCCAAGGACAACGGCTACGTACAGGTAAAATAATTAATGTCATTTAGCTGTCATTTAGCTACGGAAAGGACCGTGAAACTTTACAAAATACTTTTCATGTGGTCAGTGTTTGCTGGTATCTAGATAAAATTATCTAGATAATCATCTAGATAAAAATGGATCAGTTTTATCTTTAACTAGATGAAGAAATACAAAGTATCTTTATCTTTATCTTAGATGAAAAATATATGTCATCTTATCTAAATATTGTCTAAGATGATGTTTTCATTATGCAAAAAAGTTTTCCAGGCAAGCTTCTAAAATCTATCTAAAATATCTAAAATATGTTTTTTATATTATTATTATTAATATATAAATATATTATAAATATGTTATAAATATAAATTAATAAATAAATATTTATCATATCATTTATATACCTTTTATATACCTTTTTGCTATCATACCATTTATATACCTTTTTGCTATTATTTCTTTATAATATTAAATCTTCTTTAAAAAAAGAGAAAGAATATGTGTTTATGATTTTAATATCCCATTTATAATCTGCGTCACATTTTTTACAAATATTTATAGTCTTCTAAAATAAACAAAAATATCTAGATAATTATCTAGATTATCGCAATAATTATTTCATCTTTCATCTAGATTAAGTAAAAGCAAAATCATCTTTATCTCATCTAAGATAAATTTACAGATTTTTATCGTAATCTTTATCTAGATAATTTTGAAATTATCTACAGCAAACACTGGATACATTTTAGTGTTTTTAAAAAATCTTGTATATTTTTAACTTTTGTTTGTCAATACGAGCCTCTACGCGTGTGTAAAAATTATGCTGTGTAATTATCTGAAGTGAATAAAATTTTACTTTATACAATTAATATTTAATATTTACAGAATATTGAATCAGTAAATTCACTAAAGAAAATTTAAAATAGCAAAGTCATTTTAAAATTAAATATTTGAATTTTGCGGAAATTTATTTATTTCTTGGAAATTATTAATTTTTTAAATTCTATTTAGGTTCAGTATCCTCAAAAATGTATTAAGGTTTAGTTTCTCCAAAAAATTTTTAGTTATTTAGATTCAGTATCCTCAAAAAAGTATTTCCTTTTATAAAAATTAAATTAAAATTATACCATTAATTTTTAACCTATTTATCACATCAGCTTTGAAGATAGTATTTTGGAAAATACGCATTTCAAGTTTTGCAGGCCAATTTGAAGACGTGCCCAATATCCTATTCAAAAGTCTCGCAATATCGTCAATTTTGCGAATTTTTCAATAATATTTGTAAAACATATTCTTCGAACAATATACTTTCCGAAAATATAAAATAAAGAATAGATTTTTTTTATCTTCTAAAATACAGGATGCTTAATACCATAAAAATGTGAAAACATAAGGAAAAAGATTTTTCTTCCAAGGGAGGAAATTTGCACCGAAATAACCATGGCGGGAAATTATTCAATTTAACGTTACCGATACGTAATGCATTTCGAGAGGCATCGATTTTTCTCCATGTTAAAACGATGTAGCGTCACTTTGAAGGCCACTATCGACGAGACGGATGGAATGGAGGGAGACGGGGACGCTGCTTAAGTCTGAGTTAACTCCATTAACTTGACGTCCTGAAGAGAGAGACTAACGCGTTCGTCCTCGACACCTAGTAGCCCGCCGGCACTCTCAGTTAAGGAAGCAAGCCGTTCAACCCCTTCCTGACACGCTCTCTCGATCTTCCCACATCCTCGTGGCACCCTCATCCGTCTCACTCTACTCAGTGCGCTGGATCTATACCCAGCTGGTAACCGCTGGTCATGACTTCACGATGAAGACACTGATTTAATAAAGCGCCTCGGGCGACCTGGCGCACCGTGTTCGCATTTTGTCTCTCATGAACGACAGAGATTTGTCACCCTTGACGTAATAATATTAGGGGGACGAGAAAAAAATTGTTATGTCGGCTAATTTGTAAACTCGCTGCCGAACGATGCATTAAGCTCCCTCCTGAAGAAACAGATTGACAGGTTTTCAATAGGGGAAAGAAGACCATATGTGGAATATATATACAGGGTGTCCCAGAATACCCGTACATTTCTTTTAAAATAAAAATAAATGGCTTTTATCAAAAATCACGAACAATTTTTAAATAAATCGGGTACGCTCTAAATGGTGATATTTTCAACTTTTGATTTCGATCGGAAATACGCCATCCGGATCGGAAATTGAATTCTTTTAGGGGAACATGGTATTTTTTATTACAGATTCGAATTGTACGTGAAAAAATAAGAAACTTTTGTATCAAACGTTTTCTTCTAAAAGTGCCTCTGTCAATCTTAAAATTGACCTTATTATTTCATCACAGTTACTTTCAAGGTCAATTTTAAGATTGATAGAGGCACTTTCAGAAAAAACGTTTGATACAAAAGTTTCTTATTTTTTCACGTACAATTCGAATCTGTAATAAAAAGTATCACGTTTCCCTAAAAAAATTCAACTTTCGATCCGGCGTATTTCCGGTCGGAATAAAAAGTTGAAAATATCACCATTTGATAGAGCGTATCCGATTTATTTAAAATTGTTCACAATTTTTGATAAAAGCCATTTATTTTCATTTTAAAAGGGATGTACGGGTGGTCTGGGACACCCTGTATATCCTGTATCTTCCAATATTACGATGTATATCATATTTAAAGAATAAAATTTATAATGGTAAGCGCAGGAATCCCTCGCAGTATCCTTCCGACGCAACATTTTAGAGACATCACGTGTAGAAACACGGAAATTTGCTCCGAAAGTTGTTTAATCCCGACTCGACGAAGCGGAGAAGCGCAGTTAACGGGATGATTCGGAGCATCAACGCCACCGTCCGCATGTGTGTGCAAAACGAAATTTAATTAAGTGCCGTGCGACAGATACCTTCTTTAATAACTTCACGTTCGCGGTGAATGTTACTGGTATAATCAAAATGCGTCGTCGCATGAGTTTACTAACAATAAGGGTAAAAAAAGAGAGCAAATTAGCCGAGAGCCACCGAAGCGGAAAAAACCACGCCGTGAAGAGATAAGAAAGCGATATCAAGAACACTGAATGCTAATGCGACGAATTTATTTGAATTGTTAATCTCTACCTTGATATTTTTTCCTTTTCATATTTCGCGCGTTTAACGATGATTGGGAACAAAATACAAAATGGCGTAAATACAATGGTATGAATTAATCGCTGTTGAAGCAATGAACTTACATTGAAAAAAACACTCCCGGCTCCATCTCATTATTAATTCTACTAATTAACTATAAATTCTATTAACTGGTAACTAATAATTAATACTCTATTGATTGAAAATAAATGCAACATTTACAAACAGCCGACAATAATATTGTATAACAACTGTTATGAATTGGAAATTATGTAAATTGCACGCGTATCGTAAATGTTGTAGTAGCTCGCTGTTTGTGGGGAAACCTCACCTGTCGAGGAATTTGATCGCACGATTGTTATCGATTGCACTCGAGTCTCGCTGATTTTCTGAGGAGATTATAATCTTTCTTGCAGCGTCTGGGGAGCGTTCGTGGGGAAGACATACCGTACATTTTCGGGCTACCGCTGGTAGCAGGCGGGGCTTTCTTCCCGCGGAATTATTCCCGACAAGACCAGGGCGTTGCGGAGGCCGTCCTCACCTTCTTCACCAATTTCGCCAAGACCGGCAACCCGAACGAGCCGCATAAGATCGAGTCGGTCGACTATGGCACGCCGAAGGAGAAGACGCGATTCCGCGGTCTCACTTGGGAACAATATGAGACAGGCTCTCAGCAGTACCTCACGATAGGTGAGTCTCGAGGAACACGAATTTCTCTCCTTCTCTCCCTCTTCTCTTCGCTCCGTTTCTCGATGAATTTAATTTTCCATAGCCGCGCGAAAAGGAAGAGCCTCGCGCGTCCGCGTTTCCGGGATGTCGCGACTTTTTTTTTAAATTTCCCTTTTCGTTCTCTTTCCGTTCTCTTTCCTCTCCCCTCCTCTCCTTCTTCCTTTCCTCGAGGAAAAGTGCCTTCGAGTCCGATTGTGTGATAGTCCCCGGGGACTCCTCTATCTGCCATGTATCTCTTGGCGCTCTTTGAAAGTTTCTCCAAGAGCTTAATTGCGTGTAATGTGGAATCTTCTATTCGGTGAGAGTTTTATTTCTCGGAAATATATATAATTATGTAAACGGATACTTTAATGTTCATTTAACTCGAATGATAGACGCGAATTAAATTAATTATTATTAATATGCATGTCCCGGTCTTTTTAATCAAAATATTATATTGTTGCACTTGTATGTATGATAACTAATTATAACAACATAAAATATTTTCCGATTATTTAAAAATATATAATGATCAATGAAAATAACTCCTTGTTACATCACTCTTTTATAAATTTAATTTTTAAACTTAATAAAAATATATTTAAAAAAAATAGAAGGGAGAGAAATGGAAAAAATATGAAAAAGTGTAGAGAAAAATAGATAGAATAGAGAAGAAAAGAGAAGAGAAAAGAAAGATTAATGCAATAAAATAATAAATAAGTTTATATTTCCCTCTTTAAATTATTAAAATGTTTTCTATTAATTATTTAGTAAACTGCTTTGTTTTAAATGGCTTCCTTATCTTATATGGTAATATAGGAATATAAATACGTATTTTTATATAATATAAAATATATATAACACTGGTCAACACTCAAATTTTTTCCTGACATCTAACATGTATTATAGGTTATATCTAAGGCACTGATTACGAAAAAAATACTAGTTTAGTTGTATCAGCTCTACTTTTTTTATTTATAAGATATTACGATTAACAAATTCTGAAATAGGTTTTCGATATTTTTGAAAGATGTATTCGCCACAAATATAACAAAAACTATCTAGATTATGTAAACAACGTCTCCGAGTTGAAGACATATTAAAAGTTAAAAAAATAATAATTTTGAGTCGAGTAAAACTCAAAAAAACTGCGATGTCTAAAGGGGATAGTCTAAAAATATTAAAAAACAAGAGCTGTTAAAAAAAACTACTGTCGTACTCGAAATCAGCACACTTAAATAAGCCCAAAACTGCAAAATTATAAGAGGAAAAAGTTAAAATTATTTTTTTGATCAGATTATTTTGTTGATCAGTGTAATTAATATATAATAAATAAAAATACAATATAAAATCAATATAAAAATATCAATTTTAAAAATAAAAGAAAGAATAGGAAAAAATAAAAACAATATAAATTAGAACAAAACAATTCCATAATTACTTTACAATTATTTACAATTGTATATTGAAATCAAATATATATATATATATATATATATATATATATATATATTTATATATATTTATGTATTTATTTATTTATTCATTTATTTATAATAAAATGTTATAAACAAATAAACATAGATTGTAAATTTTGATTATTTATTTTATACTTCCAAATATATCATGTTATTTTCAGCAATTATAAATACGGTATTACTTGCAAAATTTTATAAATTATTGCTAAATATTTACAATATATTACATCCTCGAATTCAGAAAAGCTTTTGTTCAACTTCTTCACTGAATTCTTCTCTTCCTAAATTATATTCTGATTCACGTATACATTCCTCTTTCAAATCAATCAATTTCTAAAGAATGAAATTCTTTGGGAATCTCCAATATTTAAAAAAAGAATGTATGTTCTATACTTGTGTTCTTTATGTTATAACCGGAAAAAATGTGACATTTGTAATGACATAAAAAATTCTAGTGAAAAGCTAAAAAAAACTACGCATGTTATAATCATTTAGATCGATTGTTAAAATATATATCAAATTTTATAGAATAAATATATATTTATTTGCCATCTATTTCTTTATACTATACGAAGAAGAATTAAGAAAAATATATATAAAAAAATATATTACCAATAAATATATATATAAATATATATTACCAATAAAAAAAATATTATCAATATAGATTACAAAATAAATAATAAACAAAAAAATGATTGGAGCGCGAACATTTCCAGATTAATAATCACAATTTGTTTACAATTATAATGATTATTTGTAACATAATACAAATTATTAAATTGTTAAATTATTAATTAAAATCATACTCATAATTAATTACATTTCTTGATAAATTTATTATGAATTATATCTGTTGATAAATTGTGGTACGCATAAGTAGCAAGAAAACATTTATCTTTAAACGTCAAATATTTATTTCAGCATTAAAGCCAAAAATGAAAAGCCATTATCGCGGCCATAAAATGGCAGTATGGCTCAATCTGATACCACAGCTTCATCGTCCTGGTGACGACGACGTTTCCATGCGGCATCATCATTTCAGAGAACGAGGCGATCATTATTACGCAGGTATAATGATAGCTTCTCCCGAAATAAACAAAAAATACATTCTTTTAATTAATATACTTGAATCTCTTCCATTATTCAGGACCGGTTCGAGATGAATGGTATACGCCATTGCCGTTGACAGGCACAACGCGGACGAGCGCTTCCTCGACCACTGCCTGCAGCACATCTACCGGTGACGACATCGAGATGATTACGTCGATTCTCGACGATTCCGAAGACGACGCCGAGCTACTTCAGAGACTGGCATCTCGTCATTACTATAGTACTACTACCGCTCTAGCGATCACTGTGGGTGTCGGTTGCATCCTCCTAGTGTTAAACATGCTGATCTTTGCCGGAATTTATTATCAGCGTGATCGCGATAAAAAACGCGCCGCTATGGACTGCAGACCAAACGGACAGGAGTCCCTACCGATGACCACCAGGACGTCCATAAAGCCTTCCGAGGGCGCGCGACCTACGCAGGAGCCACCACCTTCGTACACCACCCTCGCGAGAAGTCCCTCCATCCAGGAACAGCAACAGTCTCAGGGTAGCCCAGACTGCGAGCAATCGAACAGAAAGGAGCTAAGAGGATCCGGTCATGGGACCAGCAAGGATTCGATTCCGCCAAAACCGCCCGCCAGAACAACCAGCTCACTCACCACTGCCGGTAACACCAACACCATCAAGAAACGTGTGCAGATACAAGAGATATCCGTATAGCATTAGGGGTTGCCCCTGGAGGGCAACGCGCGAACGAAACGAGTGACTTTTGTAGACACGGAAAAGGCCACCTCGGCAGAGTCCAGATTTTGAATGACACTTTCTCATTTGATTAGCGAGGATGAACAGATTGGCCTGACTTGGTGAAGGGAACTTGGAAGTTCTCGTTTATATCGCGATTACGTGAGTGTAATGCGAAAGAACTTGTAACAGAATTATTTACGTCTGAATCGTGATTTCAAGTAACTTAACGATTGGAATTATGTACTTGACTGCAGTAGGATATTATTGCTGACTGTTACTACTTGCAGTTCGCGATTATGGCTGACTTATAACGCGATCGCACTACTGAACTGTTAAATACTGAACTGTTATTCCTTGGAAGACATTATTCCTTCTTTCTATCGGTGGAAGCGTAACATATTAATAGTGTTTGTTACGACTGATGTAAGACATGGTAGTTGCTACTTACAAGCAGACGACGTTCTCTATCTGGGAAAAACTCATATATATTATAATCAAATATAAATACACATAAAACATGGCCATATATGTTTTCTTCTTTTGTATAATCTCCGTATATGCAGAAAAATAACAAGAATAATTAAAAAATAATTAAAAGAATAATTTCCCAGACAGCATACAAATATTCGAAGGACATCCATAAGATCATTAAGGATATTGAGGATATCTGCAGATGATCCGTTTTACGTTCTTCGGACATTTAATGGATGTTCGTGGTATATCTGTTTATGAAATTGGTGGACATACTTTAATCTCTAAGTAATAATATAATTTATCTATTTCATATAAAATTTTACATAAAAATTTCATATAAAAATTTTATTTATAATTTATACTTACATATTGCACTTTACATTTTAAATAGATAATGAACGGATTATTTTCGTTTATTCGCCAGACACTTACTTGTCCGACTTATAAAATCAATTTAATATCTGAAACTCGTGATTTAGATCAGAAATTAAATGAACAGTATATTTTTAATGTTATTTGTTATCTTTTGCAAACTTTGTATAATTCTCATAACTAAAACTTAAATACGAGAAAGATAGAGCATCGCATAGCGGTAAACGAACGAACTAACATATCCTTGCTCGCGCGAAACTTTGACATCCAAGACCGGACATCTTGTGGACGTCCAAATATTGGCCATTAACGGGTGTCTCAAATCGGATGGATGTTCATTTTATGTCGAGGACGAGTAAATGTAAAATGGATATAAAATGAATATCCATGGGATGCCCTGTCTGGATTCCGTATTATACTTTTTAGAGAAAATAGAATTTGAAGAAATGAGAAAAAATTGATCATATATTTATATCACTATACAAAAAGAAAGAAACTGCCTATATATAATTATATAGAGACAATTTTTTCTCATTTCTCCAAAATTTCTTTTTTCTAAAAAATAAATAAATAACGTGAAAATTATTCTTTTTATTATTTTTCCCGTATACAAACAGATTATGGCCCAATTTCACCAACGCGAGTTAATCTAATCGGTCGGTTAAATTTCAGAGTTGCCAACTGCCGAACATAAAACTGATCTTTATTAATCTATTTTCTTGACATCTGTGAAGAATCGTGTATTGCCAAGTGTATATAATAATAGCAAAGTATGTATTCGAAAATTTTGTCATTTAAAACATCAAAATAATTAATACGTGGTTTAAATATACGTTCTTTTCTTTCCTTATTTCTTTCAAGATTATCATCATCGTATTCACCGAAGTCTAAGAAATCCATAACGTTGTTAATATTCTCATAATTATTAATTATATCAAATATATTATTCATTTTATCATTTAATATTATTATATGATAATTCAATTTTATTCCCACTTTCACGGTTATAATGCTTGTATATGACACGCAACAAGAAGGTAAGTTAAGAACGACTTAACAACGTTCGTTTTTGTCTTGCTATTGGCAATTCTGGTGATTTAATCGACCGATTAGATTAACTCGCGTTGGTGAAATCGGGCCTATGCAAAAAAAAGGAAGAAAACATATATAGATGTTTTACATATAATTATACATATATATTTATATTTGATTATACATGGATTTATCTTTCCCGAAAATTGCTGTCTTGTTTTAGAAAAATATTCAGCGATTTCTAAAATAAACATCATAATTCGCCTAGTCCTATCAAGTATAGTCTCCATGCTGGAGACGCTCAAGAAAAGATATCTACTCAAAGAATTTTTGTTAGAATTGAAGATGTCGATATACGTTTCCTAGCCATTCAATTCATCGGAATACGAGTTCTGATTCTCTTTTAAAGATCACGAAAAAAATTCGGTGGCCTTAAAAATACATCACACTACACGAAAGTAGTAACATACAGGCAACGTATTGATATCTTCGATATTACGAAGGGCGGGATTATCACGGATGAAACCTCGTATGATTGAAACTCTGTAACGCACGGAGGACTCGAGGATATCTCTGTCTAAAAAGCAATTATGCGTATAAGAATACCTGTGCACGGATCGGTGCACAGTAATTTCCGTGACCTCGGTTCGAGAGATCGCTCTTGAAACGATCAGAATACCAAAGTCACGTACACGAGTCGCATACCATCGCATACCTCGTCGACTGCTTTGTGAGGCATCGATTGGAAGGAAGAGACACTCGATTCCAAACGGATCAAACGGATCGGACACGCTTATTCGCGAGCGAGACGAAGGCTCTGCCCGTCTGTAACTACAAGTACCACTTGTACTCGCTTGCGTGAGATTGTGACAGCGTCAGTCGTATCTTTTGACCGATCCTGCCAAAGAGAAATAGCTTAATAAATCTTGCGAAATTTACTCGGGCGAGAGACGTAATTCTCAGACTGCAATCGTCGATGCATTCGACGATGCCAAAGCCATTAGAAGTGGGGCCGAGTGTCCTTCTGATAGAGTGAATAGTCTGACAATCGCGATTATCGAAATCGCGACTAGAATTCCTGATAATGTCTGAAGATATAGACGCTCATAATACATCATTTTCTCTCTTAATTTTTTTGTAAAACGCAATTCTCAAGGCTCTATTGATTTGGAGATATGTCTCCAGTATATTCTCCATCTATCGCGAATATAAAATTATAGAAGATTATATACAAATGAATGCAAATATATTGTTGAAATATTGACACCCTAACAGCACTGATATCATTCGGATATTCTATACTCATACTATAAATATACGTTACAGATGTAATATACTGAGAATGATCCCATAACATCTCTTTGTGTATATTATTTTTCATATATTCTCAGAATATACTTTGAATACTTCGTATTAGTATATTCTTTCTCGTATATTTTCAGGATATTCTATATTCTATAATATTGCATGTGTTTCCTCATTTTGCCGCTACGCGTGCTACCAAACTCGTACTTAATTTTTGGTGAAATGGAAATAAAGGACTGGTACTAACATGAGTTCCAAAGTTTCTTCTTTTTTTTTTTTAGTCAATTTAATTTATAATAAACAGACTTAATTTAAAATTTGTTTAGTAGTTTAGTTGTTCTGAATTCCTGGTTGGGATTCAGAATATTAAAAAGATTATTTGAAATTAAAATGAGAAATAGTGTGTGCGTTTACGGCATTTATCAAAAGTATTTATATTACATGTATGAATTATACTACAAGATATTCTCAGTATTTACTATTAACCAAAATAGGCGGACATTAGAGCAGTCTCTTAGTATATACTTAATATATCATAGTATGTTCTCGAATGTTCTGAGAATATATGCATTGTACTCTTTTGCGATATTCTTCGAACATTCTCAGTATCTACATGTGCTGTTAGGGACATTAAAGAAGAATTATTGAGATATTAATATATTTATATTATCTAAGATTTAAAATTAAAAATTGTTATTTTTGAAATTAAAAATTGTTATTTAAAATTAAAAATTTAATTGTTATTTAAAAGTTGATTTAATTAAATTATGTGATTTTATAGCTGTTCTATATCTTAACGGAAAATCCTTTTATCTTGCTTATAAAATTCTTAATTTTAAAAAAGAGTTGAAATTGTTGGAAGTTGTTAATTTTAAATTAAAATTGTTTATAAAGATGGAGATATACAAACACATTGATACGAGCTTCTGTTGATGAGACTCGGAGATTTTTTTAAGATAAAGTTTATGAACAATATTAATAGTCCTTTGTATCGCGGCCTTTCTGAACCGAGATTATCGCTGAGATAAAATATGCTCAAAAATGTAATAATGAAAAAAGGTAATTTCTCTTAAAGTAAAGTTAAAATTATCAAAGATTTGTATAGAACACACTCTCTCTCTCTCTCTCTCTCTCTCTCTCTCTCTCTCTCTCTCTCTCTCTCTCTCTCTCTCTCTCTCTCTCTCTCACTCTCTCTCTCTCTCTCTCTCTCTCACACTCTCTCTCTCTCTCTCTCTCTCTCTCTCTCTCTTTTCCACGACCAAGTATCCTAAGACGTGATCGCGCTCGTGTTTGCAGAGATACATTTTGTCTTTGCAGAGTCTTTAATCTCGAATTAATATTCATGACCTGATTCTTGTGTATCGTCAGACTTCACAGAGATATTATATAAGTTTTGATAGTCACTTTCATCATTTCGTGCGCAACTAAATCAATCTACGAGAAAAAAAATAAAATGCACTTTTCACAGGATATATCATGGATGTAATACAATAATATAATAGTATCGAGTGTGACAAAAATTCAGTCAAAACTACAAAAAGCGAACAACACTACGGACGCGATCATTGATAGATTTTTACTCGCATAAAAATTCGTAAATGACAAGTTTGTATCTCGTTTATATCCTAATTATTGAAATTGTAGTAAAATCGTGAGTCTGAAAATCATTCATATATTACGATAACGCTTTATGAGAACTGAATTTTCTAACGCAATTCAAATGTTATATATCCTATATGGAAAAAAAGAACCACGCAACCTTTTCCATCTAGAATATTCCGAGTAAGCGAGTTTCAAGATCGTTAAAAATCAAGAGACTGTCTAAAGTAATAAGATTTATTTAATCGATCGCATTGTACGACTTCCTCGGCATGAAATTATACATATGTATCGATACAATTAAGAAAACATAAACTTGTAATTAAGAATACCATGTAGCGTAATGCACACAGATTCGATGTCGCTCGATCGGAAAATTATATTACAATAATTTTAAGTATATATACGTTATTACGTGTAATTTTTCAAAGTATCATTCGAGAATGATCGGATATTTGACAACACGTTGTGATACTTGCGTGAAGGTAGTATCGACGCACTTAAGACGGCAGTGAAATTTAAATGCGTGTTATAGTTTAGAAAATCAATTTGTAAATTTCACTGTACAACAATAAATGCCAATTTATAAAGATATACACGACTTTTTTTTTATCAGTCATACTCTTCGTTGGACTTTTAATCAACTGAAATGTTAATGAATATCATGTAACAAATATAGACGAAACTATATTTTCAAAGTACCTTATATCATATACATCGAGAATGAAAATATACTAAAAATAAAAGTTTACATATAAGGTCGGCTTCTAAGAAGTAAATATATAACTTATACTATCCATAATTCAGTGTTTCTCTTTTATACAACTTGTCAATACATTGAAAATAGTGGCACATTATATGCCTTAAAAGTATAAGTCGATCTTATTCGAGGGCCATCTTCTTGGCTGGAACCACGTTAGGAGCGGGACTGTTATTTCTCTTCTTTCCTCGCACGTTACGTCCTTAGAATACAAAAAAATTAATATCTATTTCTTTAAATTATAGATTATTTTTTATCATCGTATAGAAAATTCAGTAATTTGAAGAGTTCAACTCAGCGAAATCCATATGTATGATTCCTCAGTATTAGCATGGCAATAGCATCATTAATATATACATTATAATCGATAAAATAGTAGTATTTTCAAAATTGAATGATTCTTACCTTTTTTACCACTTCGTTTTCCTTTGCTATATTTCTTTTTCGATGCTGCTATTTCTTCCATCGTTTTTGCCAGGTACTTGTCTTCCTCTTCACCTTCAAGAACTTTGTAAATAACTTCAACTTCGCCAATTACCACCTTGGAAGACAATTTAATTGTTACACTCGACTATTATGATTCTAAAAGCATAATCCAAAAGTTATATATTTCTCACCTTTCCTTCATTTGTCTTTTCTAACAAAGATTTAGCAGCATTTTCTCCTTGCAGACGTACCCATCCTTCCGTATCCCCTCTTCGAAAATCAATATATGCAATATCGGCATCAAATTTGTTTAAAGATTCTTTTATATCTTCTCTTGTACATATTTTAGAAACACCAGAAAAGTAAAGGATTGAACCTTTTGGCAATTTATTATCTATATTAGTATCTGTTTCTGCTAATGTCTGGTCTGTTTTATCAATTTCTATTTCCTTTTCTTCTGCCTAAGCATGTTAAAATCATAATTTTGAAAAATTAAATTAAAATTAATTTACATTTAAATTATACATCTTTTCTAATTATTTTCCTAACTTACAGTAACTGATTTCTTTGATTTATCTGCTTTCTTTTTTCTACGTTCCTCCTTTTCTTGAGCTTTTTCTAGATTGTAATTTGCCCTATAAAAATTATATCAAAATCATATAAATAAAATATATCATAAATCAAATATATTATATGATTAATAAAAATATATATATGTGTATATAATTCCAAATATTTTTACTTACGCCCATTTTCTTATTAGTTCAGTATCCCCATATTTTATAGATTCTATATTCATAAAAGCTTTTGCACCATCCAAAGTCTCAAATTGTACAAAAACAGATCCTTTGAATTTATAAACTTTATCTTTATTATCTTGATATTTCCTCATCTGTAAAAAAATAATTCTGTTTAAAAATCTATACATATTTATAATAATTTCTAATATTTATTGTTAAATCTATAGCTAAGTCATTATAAAATTTTCCACATATAAAATCTTATCCATATGTAATTCTATAAATAATCTAATGTAAACAGATATACTTACCACAATTGTTTCAAATGGTTTATATGGATTGAAAAATTTTTTTAACTTATCAATATTTGTATCAGTTAATGGAAATCCCTTAACATAAACTGTTCTAGCTTCTTGAGCTTTTCTATATTCCTCATTATATTCTGGTAAAGGGTAATTTGGCGATCGTCGTATCTTCTTTCTATCTTCCGAAATTTCTATCAGATCGCTACTTTCGAGAGCTTTCAAAATTATATCAATATTTTTGCTAAGGTTGGCTAATAGCTTGAAGTTTAACATAACAGTCATGGGAATCCAGCCTTCGTCTAGTTTGGTTTGTTCAATGAGAAATTTGTCCCTCTGCATATTTACATTGCCAAAGTAATACTGTGAAAAAAATAAATAAATAAAAGCATAAAACATTGATACTTGTTTATTATTTTTATTTCTTATGATGTTACTTTTGTAAACTATTATGGTGTAAACGTTACCTTTATAGACTATTATGGTTTTGTTTCTTACAAAAAAAAAACATATATATATATACCTCTATTTGGTCCTTGATTTTTTCCAAAAGTTCTTTAGAAGGTTCTTTAGCTGTAGGTTCTTCAGCTGCAGGTTTTTCAGCTGTAGATTCTTCAGCTTCTTCACTTGCATTATCTGCAGCGTCAACAGTATCACTGACCTAAAATAAAAACATATAAGTCTAAAATGTCCACTTTTTCTTGATCATTACTTTTTACATGTCGATTTTCTTGCACCAGTTAAGACACGATTTTTCAATACAAGGGATATAAAAGACAAAATCATTTTACGAAAACAAAATACGATATATTTACCTCTACTTCGGCCTTCTCTGAAGTTTCCGCAGTTGGTGCTTCTGCATCGTTTGTGTTGTCGGCGTCCACAGTCGGCACGTTTTTAACCTCATCAACGGCGTCACCGTTCAAGCGGTCATCGTTTGTTTCCTCTTTACCGTTCTCCATATTAATAATATTCGATCTGCAATATCTGTAGAAAAAAGATACAAACAACGCACTCTCAAAAACGATGGCTCTCAAACTACGTTTTATATTCTTAATCTGATATTTTTCGAAATAAAAATGAAGCCCTCGTCTCACACACGTGCTCCACTTAAGCTGTCGAGAGCGGAAATGACGCATGAAACTAAAGCTGCCAGATCCACGATCACGACCTGCGACGCGGCAACATGCAATTTTAATGGTGGGGGAAACGCGAGGGTGAAGGAGAGAGCAGAGGTCGGCGTTTCGGCTAGCTTCGGATAGTAGAAAGGCTGATTTATAGAGGCCGTAACTGTTAACTTATGCCGGAACCGGTAAAGTTCAATATTGGAATTTCAATGCTTTTGTTCATGCTTTCAGCGTGAACAAAAGCATTGAAATTCCAATATTGAACTTTAGAGCCTCCGCACAAGGTGTTCCGTATCGCATTACGTTACGTTAAATATCAATGGTAAATTTAATTTCGTACGTAAACTTAAACTTCAGTCAACGCACAGAAATCATAACGTAAAGATATGTCTTTACATTACGATTTTTTCTGTGCGTTGACTGAAGTTTAAGTTTATGTACGGAGTTAAATTTACAATATATACTTAACGTAACGTAATGCGATACGGAACACCTTGTGCGGAGGCCCTAATAGTGGCCACATTCAGCGGACTCAACAGTTGAGCAACATTACTAGATTTTCCGATGTAACTCGACGCTGATTGGTCGGACCTGAAAGTAAAGACCAATCATATTCGATTGCTACTTAGCGGTTGAGTCACAGTATCAGTATATACAAGGTTTGTTCGCGTCGCATGACTCAACATACTCCTACTCACTCCAATACGCTCCAATACGTTCGCATCACCGGAACTAATATGGCGACTAAGTGTTCGCGTCACGATAGAACATACTCTAAAAAGCAATTAGGAGCTAGTGTCCCTAGAATACAGAATACAGAATCTGGACAAGCCCCTCAAAATGGCGTTAGTGCGTTCGAAAATATGTTTGGTCGGTGTTGGGAAAAAAGATAAAGTTGGCAGTATTGAAAACTCCCAGTGCTGCGTTTCGTTTCTCCCACTGGGATCATTAGGATTGTATTGTAGCGTATGTACACTGCGCGACAACGATTCGTTCCGTGGCCCCTTTCTCGTGGGGCAAGGGGAGCGTAGAAGTGACCAATCAGCTGGCAGCGTGGCAGTGACTGATTGGTTAGAGGCTACGCTCCCCTTGCTACGCGAGAGGGACCACGGAACGAATCGTTGTCGCGGAGTGTACATATATGAAAGTGTTGCAATTACACTAATTATTATTGTGGAACAATATATTTTACTCGAAAACATCATTTTTGAATCTTCGAGTAGTTCTTCTTCAAATAGTGATGAATAATAATGAAGAATTACAAAATATTTTATTCGAAAATAGAGGTAATAACAATAGAGGTGAAAGGAAAATAGTACCAAAAATAACAAATTATTTGGAAAATGTTGTTACCAGATATACAAATATTGAATTTAAATCACATTTTAAGTAAATTATGTCACTTTATTATAATTATAGCATTATTAATATAAAACACACGTTCGTATTAATAATAATATATGTGATGTTATTAAACATATTATTATAAAATATATTTAACCACTTATTTACCTCTTTTAATATCTCAAGTAGCAAATTTTTTAAATCCCAGTGATCCCAGTGGGAGAAACGAAACGCAGCACTGGGAGTTATCAATATTGCCAACTTTATCTTTTTTCCCAACACCAACCAAACATATTTTCGAACGCACTATTGATCGGACTGAACAATGGTACTTAGGCCGGTATTCATAGTCCGATCTTATATTTAAGATTGTCTTAAGTCTGGTCCGAGATTGACTTAAGACCTCATTCAACCAATCAAACAGCTGCGTAGCATTTCAAGCTCGAACTTAAGACGATCTCAAATATAAAATCGGACTATGAATACCGGCCTTAGTGATAGACTTTTTAAATTTCCCTAGACTAATCCGGATCAATGTGTCTCTGAAGTAATCGAATTAGATTAACAACTTATTCTTATTTTATAGAAAACAGTACACCAACCAAACATATTTTCGAACGCACTATTGGTTGATTCAAAAATGATGTATTCGAGTAAAATATATTGTTCCATAATAATAATTAATATAATTGTAACACTTTCATATATTGTACACTGCGCGACAACGATTCGTTCCGTAACCCCTCTCTCGCGGGGCAAGGGGAGCGTAGAAGTGACCAATCAGCTGGCAGCGTGGCAATGGCTGATTGGTTAGAAGCTACGCTCCCCTTGCCTCGCGAGAGGGACCGTGGAACGAATCGTTGTCGCGCAGTGTACAAGGCCATTGTCACAATGGCCTTGTACGACAGACATCTAGTTCTCTGCCATCAGCCTAAAACAAGCGACAAATTTAGTCACTAGATCCCCATTTGCCGCTGGTTTCTAGGGTCAATGAAAAGGCCGCTTCACAGTCAAGTATGAAGAGAATACTCGACTGTGATTGGTAAATTTCAGGCTTAAGGCTTAAATTATCTATTGTAGACACGACCTTACCTTTCTAGCAATTTTTGATCTTCATAGTACGCTTCATAGTAAACTTTATTCCTAGGAAATGTCTTCATGAGTCAAGTTGGCACGCATACTCTCAGATACTCGCTGAATCTCCTTCTTTTCCGGTGTGCTCTGTTGAGTGACCGTGTCTTATTTAGTTTTAGCTGTAATTATATCTTTCTCCATCTTCCACAATGAGGATTTACAAGGATCTTTTCACCGGTGAGTGAACGATAAATGATTTTTGCAATCATAAAAGATGATTATTTTTTATTTTCCAAGTCAAGATGATAATACACGAACAAAGAGGTTGATGACACTTTGAACGTTCTTGACGAGTTTTGAGAAATCCACAACTTCCAGATTATTTCTAAATGGAAATTTTGATATACACTTTTTTTTATATTTCATGATAAATTAACACGATTATTATACTTTAATGGTTTAGATTCTTTGATTGATACATATAACTATAAAATTCCTAACCTTCCCATATGTTCTTAACGATTCTCTCTGCGAGAGCAATGTGTTATTTATTAATATAAGATCTTGAAATCTGGTATCGACATAAAATAATAATTTATAAATACGCATAAAATAATTTATATCATAAGCATATAATCTTATAACATTCTGTACATGCTTTTAGGAGATGAAATGTTCTCCGACACTTATAAAATCAAGCTGGTGGATGATGTGCTGTATGAAGTATATGGCAAAGTACATATTTATACATATAAAGTATTTTTTTCTTTTGTACAGAAGATTCGTACACTATACATATGTACTAATTATTTTTCAGTTAGTTACTCGTAAAGCGGGCGAACTTAATATTGCCGGTTTTAATCCCTCTGCAGAAGAGGCTGATGAAGGCACTGATGAGATGGTGGAATCTGGAGTTGATGTTGTATTGAATCACCGGCTTCAAGAAACATTTGCCTTTGGAGATAAGAAATCTTACACCTTATATCTCAAGGATTATATGAAGAAGTAAATATTTTTTTTTATTATGGATCTCTTCATTTATTAAATAAAATTTTTTGGGAAAGTTCAACTAAGTAAAAAACATTATCGTTGTGCATTTTGAAATAGAGTTAAAATATATAACTTTTGTTACATTATATATATATATATAATTTGTAATTATTTTATAATTGTTACATAAAAATTTGGAAATATTGAGATTTGATTTGGTGATGAGTAATCTCGACAATATGACTCATTAAATCTCTTATACAGGCAAAATATTTTCGACTGTTTAATAATCACTAGAATAACTTTTTTAAAGAGAAAAATATTTCTTTCTAAAGAGAAAAAAAATAATAAATATAGTAGTATAGAATAATAAAAAAAAGTATTAAAAAAATAAAAATTTTTAACCTTTAAACAAAAGAGAAAGATTTCTATACATGAAAGAATATGCACATTTATAATACATGCATACACTTTTCTTTTTTTACAGGTTAGTAGCAAGGCTAGAAGAAAAAGCACCTGATCAAGTAGATGTTTTTAAGACTAACATGAACAAAGTTATGAAGGATATTCTGAGCCGCTTCAAGGAGCTGCAATTTTTCACCGGTGTTTCAATGGACATTGACGGCATTGTAGGCCTCATGGAGTACCGTGAGATCGACGGCGAGTCTGTGCCTGTACTCATGTTCTTTAAGCATGGTCTTGAAGAAGAAAAGTTCTAAATAATTCTTAGATATTCAATAAAATATGGACAAATTTTGTGAGTCATACTTTCATTTATCATTTGTTATCTTTATGCAGTAGTAGTAAGTTTATTCTTCCAGTTATTGCCAAGAAGGGACTTTGGTTACAATGTTTCTAACCATTCATCCATTCATACCTTTTAACCAAATTATTACATATTATTTGTATGTATATTTATTAATATCTATTTCATTTATTTACAAATCAATTTCTTATGTCTATTTATATATATATATATATATATATATATATATATATATATATATATATACTTTTCAAATGCTATATCTTTTACATCTTACGTTTATGCCTTTATATCTCTATACTTTTTACATTTTATATGTATATACATACATATCTATTTACTTACAAGCATACCCATATATATATCTACTTATATACATTTATTTATACACTTTAAATTTTATCTTATCACATTTTACCACATATTTCCGCTTATATTATATCTTGTATCATATCTTAGTATCTGAATTGTATCATCCCTATTGCTTTCTTTTTTATTTGTACTTTTATTTATACTTTTTATTTATGTTTTCTTTACTTCATTGTTTTCTATTCCTAAATCTTACAAATATCTATTTCTATTTTATACAGGTTTATATAGGCTCTTTGAATTGTTCTATACACTTTATTCTTTCTCCTCTTTTATTTTTCTTTTTCTTTCCATAGATTGTTTAGAATTTTTCCTCTCTAAATCAACATTCAAAACTTTTTGGATCCTTTCATTTACATTTTTTCCTAGTCCTGCAAACGACTCTTTCACTTTTGTACACTCTCCTACATAATGTTCTATATTATCTAATGCTTTTTCGCAAAATACACATACCTTAAATTTTTTTTCTTTTATCCAATATCTATTATCTCTTTATTACCACATCTTAATGCTCTTACCCTATCATCCATTCTCTCAATATCTATTTCTCTTCTAAGATAATTACAATATTTCTTTCTCTTTCCATTCCTAATTCTTTATATCTTTGTTGTATTTTGTATTCCTTATTCTATCTACCGTTTACCTCTGAATATCCTTTTCTCTTTCTACTGTCATATTTTCAATTTCTATCTTTAAACCTTTTTTTCACATATTTTCGATTTCTTCTATACTCCATCCATTCCTACTGAAAAATTTCTCTTTTTCCCTATTATATAACACTTTGTTTTTCATGCTTACTATATTAATGTGATCCGTATAATTTTACTTTTTCTATTAAAAACGAAACCCAAGTACCTGAAACTTTTTACCTCCTCAATTTTCCTATTTTTCCATTTTTATTTTTCTCTACTGTCCTTCCCTACTACCATTAAATATCAATACTTTAGTTTTATCAAGCATAATTCCTTTTTTATTTTTATTTTTTATTTATTTATTTTTTTTTCTTTCTCTCTCAAAAACCTTTCAATGTATTCATGATATTTTCTAGAGTTACTTTATTCTTTGCCAATAAAACTGTCATTTGCATATGCTAATGACTATAATTCTTTTCTTTCTGCTCCCAAAGTTATACCTCTGATATTTTTTTTCGCTAATTCCCTGTCTAGATCCACAATGTATAAGTTAAATGAATGGACTTGGCACATATCCTTGTCTTATTTCTTTCTTCTTAGTAAAATTTCTTGTGTATCCATCCCTCATGGCTTCTGTCTTCTCATATATATTCTTCACTTTTTCCATCAGTCTTTTGCATACTTTCTTTTCTTCCATTATTTCCCAGTTTCTTTCTATCTACCCTATCAAAAGCTGATTTCAAATCTCATTTGTTGTCTTTATGTATTATTATTAGATTTATGATTGAGCAGTTTTTACATCATATGTGTTAAAAATTAATATGGAAAAAATTAAGAAATTGTCAAATATAATATACATGTAAATTCGTGACCAACACATTTTTTTGTGTTTGTCACTGCACAAACATGTTAGATCAAATTGGTTAACAGATTCTCGCTGTGATATCTTTCTGACCACAGTGTCTAATATGAACCAGATATTTTTAATAATGCAATTTTTATAATTTTGTTATATTTTTTATTATGGAATGAAATCTAATCTATTTTTATATGTATTTTTCAGATAAACTGGAATCAAGACTGCACACATGCTACAAAGCTGTGAAATTTAGTTAAAAATATAAAACAATTCAATACTTCCAATCTTGGTTTACAATGCAATTAATTAAATACAAATAAAATCTCCGTTTAATAACAATTCCTCGATAAATAGTTGTAAATATTCTGTAACAAGAAAAGAAAATGGCAACAACAGGAATCTTCGTTTATCTCAGAAGGTGTTATATTTCTATTTATGTTTCTATGTCTAATTTATATTAGGCGATTTAATTTATATAAAAAAAATATATATATGGAAGATGGGGAAAGAATTTGCAGCGGACTTACCAGGGTAGTTTGAAAAGTTCTCGGCTTAACAAAGATGATGCTAGAAATATCAAACTGCTATAATTTTTGATAAATTTAATCTTGTAGAGGATTATTATTAAAATTTCAGATAGATGAGATTCTTTGTTTCTATTGTGTAAAGCATACATTTTTATAATCAATTTTTAAGATCCAATATCGTATATAAAATATTCGAATTTAAAAAGTTTAATGCTAAAGAAATAAAAAATGAACTTGATTCAATTTTAGAAGAGTCTTCACCATCGTTTTCAATTGTTAAAAAATAAGCTGCTGAATTTAAATGTGGTACGTTCACATGTGTCGTACGTTCATGAAAAATCGCTCAAAAACAGTTACGTCTGACAAAATTATTGAAAGAAAAATTTGATTCAAATATTGAAATAATCGATAAGACTAACGCTTATTTTGAAGGTTTAAAAAAATCGTATTATAGAGACGATATTAAAAAGTTGGAATATCATTGGAATAAGTATACTGAGCTAAAAGGGAACTATGGAAAATAAAATAAATTTTGCCATAATCGTGTTTTCTTTGTCAAGCTCAAAACTTTTCGAACTATCCTCGTAGAACAATGGTGTAATGTTTACAATTATTATGTTAATACTAATAATGATTAACAATTTCTGAAACATATTTGACGTATAATGTCCATCATAAATAAAAAATTTTCCATAATTTTTTATTTTACTATTTTTTCCCTCAATTATTTTATTCATTTTTCCTTTCTTTCTTTAATTATCCCTCTTAATTCATGAATGTAATATATGTAATTTATGTAAACTATTATATATATCTCTGAAATGCATCTAAGCACAGTCATGTAGATTTTTATGAAATATGAATGTGATTGTATTCCGGCTGCTGTTATTTTACTCGTGCGTTTAACTCTCAATTTCTTTGAACGATATAAGCTATGTATATATATTCGTCATGTGCCGCACTTAATATACATTTGTGTAAGCAATTTCATTGTAAATTTCATTACAAATCTGATGCACGCTGTGCGTAAAGAAGAGGAACTTTTTATTACCTTATAAAAACGAAAATATGATGCATGGAATTCTGAAATTGTCTGCTTCTAATGGCACAGCAATAAATATACTGCAAGAAAAAAATCACTTTTGTGATCGTACCTGACTCATTGATTTCCATTAAGCGCATGAGGAAAGATTTTACAAAGGAAACTGGTAAAAAAAAATACATGCTCTTCACTTCATAAAAATATTATATTTAGATAAGTCAGAATAGACGATCTATCTCTTGGCGTGAAACCGTACATTATATTTCTTTACTCAGGGATTGTTACTAGCCACATACTGTTGTACAAGTACACTCGTAGCACATCATTCCCTTGTTTTGCACATTCTTCAACAATTTCTCATCTTTTCTTATTCTCAATTTTTTTCTCTCTCTCTCTCTCTCTCTTTCACTTATCTCTTACATCTCTCACGTTTCTCTCTCTACAGCGTATTACTTTATATACCCTCATTTCTCGCTTTCTGTGAATATATTACTCTTATTCTCTCTAAAAAAAAAAAAAACATTTGCTCTCTTCACCTGAGAACTCGACGCCTTCGTACGTGATACTTTGCACATGTTCCGTACCGTTATTTGAAAAAAGATGTATGTTTACATTTACAAAAGCGTATCTTAGTAGGTTTAGTAGTAGTAAATAGCATAAGTATGTGTGTAGAGACAAATTCTTTTTATAATCTACAATGAATGCGCGAAACAAAATGTCCCACTATAACATTATAAACGAAATGTATAACTTACAGCTTAAAAAGATAAACTCTTGAGGGAGATGTACATACATACATACATACACACATACATACATACATACATACATACATACATACATACATACATACATACATACATACATACATACATACATACATACATACATACATACATACATACATACATACATACATACATACATACATACATACATACATACATACATACATACATACATACATACATACATACATACATACATACATACATGCATACATACATACGTACATACATGCATACGTACATACATACATACACACATACACACACACACACACACACACACACACACACACACACACACATACATACATACATACATACATGCATGCATACATAGATACATACATAATACATACATACATACATACATATATATATATACAGGGTGGCGAACGTTCCAGCCAGACTTTGAAATCTTATAGAAAATTTAATTCTGAACAAAAAATGTCCTATAAACATGAGTCGAAAAATGCTTCCTTAAGAAGTTATCGCTCAAAAACTTTTGATGAAGGAAGAGCAAAAGGTGAAAAGAAAATGAAATAAAAAGAAAATGAAACTAAATAAATTTCTTCGAAAAAACGATAAAAATAAAAAATAAAAATTTTTTTTTTTTATGAAAATAAAATAATTTTTCTCAAAGTCTGGCTGGAACGTTCGGGGCCACCCTGTATAAATATATATATGTATATAATATACAGGGTGTAACTGAAAAAGCGCCCACGGAACAAATAGTGTTATTCCTGATTAAAAATCGAGTCGAAAAGTCCTAAAGCATTTTTTTCTATAATGCTTAATAAAGCGGTAATTATTGAGTAAACTTGTGCCAATAAGCAACCGACCTTTAAACACGAGCGCACGTCAGTGGGCTGCGCGCCTGGTAGTGTGCGTGAGCGCTCCACCTGTTTGGTGCTATGTTATGCCGCTATCGTGCAATATTCTTATGCGTTGTAATAATGTGAGAAACTTTAATTTGCATTAAAAATCATATTTCTTCCATCAAAAGCGTTTCCTTCAAAAAAATTTCGACAAGGAGGCTAAAGGTCGATGCCTATTGGCGCAACTTTACTCAATAATTACCACTTTATTAAGTATTATATAAAAAAAATGCTTCAGGACTTTTCGACTCGCTTTCGAACGCCAAAACGCTATTTTGTTCCGTGAGCGCTTTTTCAAACTAATCAAATAGCGTGATTCCTGATTAAAAACCGAATCGAAAAGTCCTGAGCCATTTTTTTTCCAAGATTCATTAAATAATTAATCAGATTTAGGTATTAAAAAGATTTCTGAAAAGATGAATTATTTAAAAATTAACACAAAACAGTTTATTTTTTTGTTTATCCAAATCTTCACATGTTGATAACGAGGAAGTTTGTCTTTTTATTGGCGCGACTTTATTCATTAATTACTGCTTTATTAAGCATTATAGAAAAAAATGGATCAGGACTTTTCGACTCGGTTTTTAATCAGGAATAACGCTATTTGCTTAGTGGAAGCTTTTTAAGATACACCCTGTGTGTGTGTGTGTATATATATATATATATATATATATATATATATATGTATGTATGTATGTACGTACGTACGTATGTATGTATGTACGTACGTACGTATGTATGTATGTATGTACGTACGTACGTATGTATGTATGTATGTACGTACGTATGTATGTACGTATGTATGTGTGTATGTATGTATGTATGTATGTTTATATACATAAATGTATAATTAATTATATTGCTTTGCTATCTACGGAGCACAACCATATATCGTATCGTTGATTATTAAAGCCAGTGAAATAAATTAATATCGATTTGCAACAGAGTATATCGCTCAACACATCTCGTCCCACTAAAAGAAAATTGAGAAAATCACGGTACTTAGAAAATTGATGAGATAGAGCAATTGTAGACTTCATCGTGATATATGAAGAAATGAAGCGATGTCGATAGGCATTCATGTGTATGTATGTGTGTGTTCGCCGATTAATGATTATCCGTAGAATGGAATGTTACATTCAACATTTATCGACATATACAATTAGTTCACGAATATCTCCAATCAGCTTTGCAATCTGAATTCTACACAGTATCGTTTAAATATTTAAACACCTTTTTTTTTCACTCGTATAATTTCTAATTTCGTATAATTATTAATCCAAAATTATAAACGAACGTGTATGGCCGTATATAAATGTATATGTTTTTTTTTCTTCTCCCTGCACGCGAATCAAGAAGAAAAATAAAATTTCGAAGTATCCGACTTATGTAATAATATTCCGAAATAATATTTGATCAATAATGGCAGTCATACAAGTGTTAACTTATTAATCTTCTTAATTAGAGATTGCCCATATACGTAAATATTGTACGACGTTTATACATATAGATGTAACATACTAGCTTACAGTTTAGCTCTTTTTAAAGGTACGGTATTTAATAGGACACACCTGCTACTATTTGTTAAGTTGATTACACCTTACGCGCTCGATAAGAATAAACAGTATATTATTAATCGGTTATCGGTATTATTATTACTATTATCATTATTATCGTTAGTTATTACTATTATCATTATTATTATTATTAAACTTATTTGTACTGATCTATGTAGAATGGGTGCGTAAAAGGGTTTCGCTACAAAAAGATGCACCGTCTCTCTTTCTTTCTTTCTCTTTCACGCACATACACACATACACACACACACACACACATTTGTTCTAAATACTGAAATGATAAATGATCCCATACAGCACAGAAGCTTGCATCAACATTGCTGCAATCTTACAATATTGCTGCAGTGTAATGTTGCAGAAATAATGCAGAGACATTATTTTGTAATATTACTTTGGCAATGTTGCAGCAACGTTTTAATATAGCGAAAATGTATAACATATGTTTCTTTACTTGTCGCTATGCGGCGACACCCAATTTAACTAACTCGTATTCGAATTCATCTAAGATGGACATAAGGTCTACAAAGGATTAATGTAGTAATTATATTTCTTGTCTTGTGTCAGTTTAATTTCTGATAAACTGATTTGGTTTACTTAATATTCTGAATCCTAATGAGGGATCTAGATTATTAAACAAATAATTTATTTAATAATCTGGATCCTTCATTGGGTTTCAGAATATTAAACAGATTCTTCTTAATTGAATAAGTAAATAGGAAGTAATTCATTTATTGCACGTATTAAAATAATCTGGTGTCGAATGTATGTAAAATAATTTTATGTAATATTATTGAGATAAATATTTAAGAAACATCTAATAAAAACACTAATAGATGTTTTTTTAAAGGCATTTTTTCCTATCTTTCTTAAACATTTTTTTATATTTTCAAAGTTTATTTATTAAATTTAAAACGGTGTCTGCATTTGTAGCGAAACGCGTTTTAATATTACAAATACGTTGCACCGTAACATTGCTGCAATATTTCTACAAGCGGACATTTTACCGTTGCTGCAATATTGCAGCAACGTTGCAGCAATATTGCAGCAACATTTTTGCAATATTGCAATCTTGCAAAGAAATATTTCTGCAATGTTGCTGCGATATTTCTGTGCCGTATGGGGATACTTTATCATATTAGAAAGAGGTTTTTGCATACAAATGTATATTAGTCAGATATATTATATTTTCTCTTGAAGTGTTGTTATGTCGGAAGAGAAAAAAGAAAACGGCATGCAACACAAGGAAATAATTAGCAATAATACCCAGCGGGTTCGCATAAGTACAAAAGAGATAAAAGCAAGAGAGGTACAATATATATAGATACAAAATGAAAACATATCGATTGCTATACGGGAAAAAGTTTTATACAGCGCACCCGATTCTCTCCGCTCTATATAGGATTCACTGTGTGTGTGTTACTATAGGTAAGACTGTATTACATTACACACAATTTGAGCATCGTACCATTTCAATGATACTTCAAAGAAGTATGGCAAAAGCATATTTAAGTTTATTTATATTAAAAGTATATACTTCCGGTATACACACACACGCGCGCACACACACATGACCCAGTAACCCCGAATACGATGCTTCACGCGCAAGAAGCTCAATGTGTTATTTATGCTTTAGTAGACGTAATCACACGGCATTCCAAAGATCACTCTTTTAAATCCTCTTACCTTATATAAATGTATGTATCTGATCGCAGGACATAGTTTCATTAATCTGTGTCGCTTTCTACCTTTGTTAGCTCTTTTCTTTTTCCTGATCACTACTGAGGTTGTCGTATTTGTATTTGTGAAAGAATTCGGTGTTTATATATATTCATATATTATTTATATATATGTTATAGATATTTCCGTTCTTTTAACATTTATATATTTCATATGAAACTTCATTCACAGGTAGCATTCGCGCCCACCAATCCTAAATGGTCACTTACAGCGTTTTATATTTTGTGAGGAATTTGAAGAGGTGATCGCTAGTCGCGCGATTGTTCAGAGGTAATTTTGGTCAGGTGCTTTGTGTTAAGAAAAGTAACGTGTTGAAATAACAATTGTACAATCAAATAATAAATTGGCAATATATATATATATATATATATATATATATATATATATATGTATGTATGTATATATATATGTGTGTATAGAATCTCTCGCTCTTTAATATGTGTGCGCTCCTACTAAATAAATGAAAATGACTCGAATTATTACGCATATATTGGGAAATTAAATCAATTTATACATATTGCTCCTGCGTCCGCATTAATACGTAATTCTTCGCCTCTCCTGATTGCTCAAAAATATTAAACAAAAAAAAACAGGCATCTGAAATGAATAGTAACTCCAGTATGTTATAAAAAAAATTACGAATTTAATAATTGTGTTTGTTTTTTTCACGGTACGCATAACATTAAAAACTCTCATCAAGTAGATAACAATAACCAACAACTAACAATCGTAGGCATTCACGCAAAAATAGAAATATGTTTAATAATATACAATAATATTATCATAATTTATATTATTGAAGTAAGTATGATCATTCCCTTACTATATTTCTAAAATAGTAGAGTAAATTGTATCAATGATTTGAGCTGAAGGAATCCGAAAAGTATCAAGTATTTGTACAATATTCGTGAAATGAAACAATAAATATTCCACGTTTTTAGTTAAAATAAAAAAATAACATTACATCTCTGAATATTTTACAACCTAATTGTGTTACATTATATTTAATTGTACATAATTGTCAAACTTCATAAATTCATTAAACATATGGATACATATATATATATATATATAAAGTTTATATCATAAAAACTTTTACGTATTTATTAAATGAATAAAAACATTATTATACAATATAACACATCTAAAAATTTTTCCAAACGAAAAACCGAGTCAACATAATGTCGACATAAAACTATTAAAATCTGACTATCACGTAAATTATGTTAATCTGATTTTTCAAATAGAAATAGTTAACAGATAGTGTAATCAATAGTTAACTGTTTCGAGAAAAAAAAATATATATATACGTTTTATACACATTTTTATACATATTTTAATATGTAAATTTAGAAAATACACGACTGAGCAAATACTTGTTTCTTGCTTTGTATATTTTACAAATCCGTATTCATCAGCTCGCATCATATGGTACGCGATTCTGTAAATTACTAACAACGAGAGTAGGGTTTTTAATTCTGTCCACGATCAGTTAATCCTTATCGCATACACTAGATTTATAATATAATTATACATCTCGCAAGAAACTTTGTCTTCGAAGGGGTTCTTCGAAAGCTCTTGCATTTTCGTTTTTATCTGCTTTCGTACAAATATGTTGAATTTAAACATATTTTCCAGAAAAAAACAAATCTCACTGCCAGTGTAAACTATGAAAAAAAAAAAAGAAAATGTTCTAACTCTACTATTTGCTGCCATGTCGAATTTGTACGAGACACAGAAGACAGCATTCCAGCATTGTAAAGTATAAAATAGTATGAATTTGTCACATTAAAATTAAAAATCTGCTTAAGAGAAAGTTAACGAAAAAGATCCGAGTATGTATATATATACATATTTTATATATATATATATATATATATATATATATATCGAGCGTGCATTCTATCGAAAGAAACAGAGAGATAAATGGAAACCCTAACACCTTGAAAGCAAATACTTCGTTCGCACGCCCCGATATTAGCAGTTATTGCAGTTTCAATATTTCGTCACGGACACATGCTATATAAAAAAAGGGGCGAAGGGAGCTACATAATGCGTATTTAATATAATTAATAATGAATTAGTAAGTTCATTTTTTCCCTATATGCTAAAATACAAAACAATAAATTATCATTAAACTCGCGCACTGATGCAAGTGTATGTATTTATATCTATATGCAAATAGTGGCTCTTTTAAAGTAACGATCCGAATCGAGGCAGAGTTGGAATGTAAAGGTGTCCGAGAACTCGCAAGCACAGATCGCGTCTTCATCAAGCATCTCGAAAAGTCAAGAATTATCAAAACGATTTATTTTTGGGCGCGATTTTATGGAAAGAAAGAGAAAAAGAAAATTAAAAAAAGAAAAAGAACCCAAAATGTAACAAAGTGCAAAAATAGAAGAGAAAAAAAAAACAATCATTCTAGGAACTTGTGTGAAAAGTGCAGTCCGACGAAGACGCGATATCTGTCCGAAACAAGGATCGATCGTCGGCACGAAATATCGCATGGAAATACGATTTTCGGATAATGGCACGACACATGTCACAGATTAAAGAGGCGATTGTTGCTGACTATACATATATTTATGTATATATAAAATAATAAAACTCTATTCATCTACCGCTTTTTGTAAATTAACACCAATCAAAACATTGATTGATTTATCCATCAAATATCAAGCTAAATTTTTTTATTGATCACACTTGCAAGATATAACCGATTCATACAGCACAGAAGTTTGCTGCAACGTTGCTGCAATGTTAAAATATTGCTCACTGCAGTATAATGTTGCAGCAATAATGTAGAGACATTATTTTGTAATATTACTTTGGCAATGTTACAGCAACGTTTTAATATAGCGAAAATGTTTAACATGTGTTTCTTTATTTGCCGCTACGCGACGACACCCAATTTAATTAACTCGTATTCGAATTCATTCAAGATGCATATAAGGTCTACAAAGGATTAATGTAGTAATTATATTTCTTGTTTTGTGTCAGTTTAATTTCTGGCGATAAACTGACCTGATTTACTTAATATTCTGAATCCTAATGAGGGATCTAGATTATTAAACAAATAATTTGGTCCTTCATTGGGTTTCAGAATATTAAGCAGATTTTTCTTAATTGAATGGGTAAATAGGAAATAATTCATTTATTGCATGTATTAAAATATTCTGGTGTCGAATGTATATAAAATAATTGTATGTAATATTATTGAGATAAATATTTAAGAAACATCTAATAAAAACACTAATAGATGTTTTTTTAAAGGCTTTTTTCCTATCTTTCTCAAACATTTTTTTATATTTTCAAAGTTTATTTATTAAATTTAAAACGGTGTCTGCATTTGTAGCAAAACGCGTTTTAATATTACAAATACGTTGCACCGTAACATTGCTGCAATATCGCATTTCTACATTTTACCGTTGCTGCAATATTGCAGCAACGTTGCAATTTTGCAAAGAAATATTTCTGCAATGTTGCTGCAATATTTCTGTGCCGTATGGGTATATGTTATTAAATTTAACCGGTTAGATAAATTAAATGTAAACTAATTGACACCTTCTCAAAAGCCTAAAGTATATTACAGTAACTGTCTATCGTCAAATCGACGTGTCAATGCGTGTCACGTGGGCATGATGTCGATGATATTTCCATGAATCGATCAATAAAGACCGCCTCCTTACGCTGGACATGAGAGTCGTTAAGCTTTAACAAAAACATAAATAACAGGATGAGGAGGAAGAGGAAAAGGAGGTGACAGGGATAGCGGTGAAGAGAAGTAAGTAAATTCCATCTCGCTCGACGCGCGATAATCTATATTGTGGCGCGGGAGAGACGTCACAATAGAGAAATTGTCTAGCATCTCGAATGAGAAACTCGACTTGAATGCGGACTCCTATTCTCTCTTTCGTCGTCTTCTTCCTCTTGGTTTTCCTTTCACAGATCGGTGTGCCCCAAGACGCGGCACACCTTCTGCTCCTAAGAATCCGATGGTGATTCCAGCATCTCCTTGAGGAAATCTTCGACTGCTCGCTCCTCGCCGAGGAGCTTGAAAAAGAACAGGTGCTCCAGGCACTTGAGACCGATCGAACGGATGGATGGCAGGCGAAGCAGCAGTTTGGCGAACCTGCCGGGGTCATCCGGGCAAGATACGCGGGTGTATTCCTCCAGAGCGGCATAGATCTTCTCGCGCAGCATGCTAACTTCCTGAATGGACTTGAGACCTCGTACATCGGGATTGAAGAGAATAATGGATCTGTTACACACAGCGACAAAATTTTAGCGATGATGCATTTGATTATAATTCAATTAATTATCATTGTGGTGAAGAAATCATGGCCAAGGATCACGTAATGTCTTAGAATCAAGGAAGAAAAAATGAATATTGATAAGTATTCAATTTTCGTAGAAATTCGTATAAAAGGAATCACTAAGATTTCTAAAGATCCATTGAAGATTCTTCTTGATTCTTTGAGGATTACTCTTGCCACTTACCTAAGGCATCCTAATTCGGTCCTGTCCATTTTCATCTCGCGCATCTTCGACACTAGTTCTGAGAGCACGCGATCGAATATCGTGATTAAGCCCGCCTGTTGCGCCGAATTTCGATGCACCGTGGTGCCCGTTGCCAGAACGATGCTGTCCTTGACTTCGATGGAACGATAGGAGAAGGCGGCTATTAGTAATTCGTTCCAGCCAGCCTTGAGCAGAAGTATCTGATCCGCCACTGGCAACGATGTAAAGTGCGGGATGTGCTTCGCCCATGTCACCAGCTGGAACAGTTGTTTGTTGGTGGCGTTGCAAATGTGCGAGACTGCATTCTGCGCATTATAAAAGATGCCGGATTAGTGGAACGAGCGTTTGGTCAAGAAAAAGCTGACTGCAGTTTCAGGATAAATCAGTAATAGTAGTAATAGTAGTAGTAATAGTAATAGTAGTAGTACTAGTAGTAGTAATAAGTAATAATGATAGTAGTAGGAGTAATAGTAGTAGTACTAGTAGTAGTAGTAATAATAGTAATAAGTAGTAATGGTAGTAGTAGGGGTAATAGTAGTAGTACTAGTAGTAGTAGTAGTAATAGTAGTAGTAGTAGTAGTAGTAGTAGTAGTAGTAGTAGTAGTAGTAGTAGTAGTAGTAGTAGTAGTAGTAGTAGTAGTAGTAGTAGTAGTAGTAGTAGTAGTAGTAGTAGTAGTAGTAGTAGTAGTAGTAGTAGTAGTAGTAGTAGTAGTAATAGTAGTAGTAAGTAATAGTAGTAATGATAATAGTAGGAGTAGGAGTAATAATAGTAGTAGGAGTAGGAGTAGTAGTAGTAGTAGTAATAATAGTAGTAGCAATAGTAATGGTAATAGTAGTAGTAGTAATAATAATAATAGTAATAGTAATAATAATAATAGTAATAGTAGTATTGTAATAATATAAAGGTATTCTTCGATTTTTATGAAAATCTCGATATAATTATTAGTTGTAGTGATAGTAGTAGGAGTAGGAGTAGTAGTAGTAGTAGTAGTAGTAGCAATAGTAATGGTAATAGTAGTAGTAGTAGTATTGAAATAGTATAAAGCTATTTTTCGATTTTTATAAAAATCTCGATATAATTATTAGCATTAGCAAAATATTACTTTACGTTATATACGTTATAATATTTTGCAATTTATATATAAAACCTAGCAATATGTTTATATATATTAATTAATTATATTAATTTTAATTAGGGTAAACCGGTGTAATATGCCTCACATTTTAATTTAATATAAATACACCTATGATGAACACATTTTATAGGTACTTGAAATTTACAAAGATTGATACTAATTAATTAAAATTTACAATTAATATTTATTAATATTTATATTAATTGAAGAAATTATGAGATCAATTTTTTGAAAATACTGAAAAAGAACGTTTTCCTTCGGACTTCGGATTTTAGATAATTATGATCAATAAGAATAATTTCTTTTTAATTTTAAAATTCAACGAAACATAAAAATCCATAAGTTAACTCGATAGGAAGATTGATTGAATTTTTACAAGAATCTGTGCATCTTCTTATATTTCTTTAAAAAATATCTCGTATTTCCTAAAAAAAATAAGAGGAAATTGATATCTATTATTTGTAATGTCTTGACCTTTGCCATTGCTTTCAGCAATGCTTCTTCACTCTATCCTTATAGTTTTTCTTTTCATTTTGTTCATAATCCGTCATAAAAAATCCATAATAAAAAAATGTTATAATAGAACCAGGGCATATGTTATGTGGATTTTTAATGTGAAATATTTTTGCATTTTAAAGGAAAATATATCTCCTTATATATATTAAATAGAAAAAAAACATTTGTTTTAAGAGGCTGTTATTAGTTATATTTTATAAGTTATATCTTTAGAAATACAGTGAGAATATAAACATAAACATAATGACAATTACGTTTTAATGGAATAAAAAATGATTAAAATTATTTACCAACAAATTTTACAATTTTTTTCCTTTAAAAATTATAATTTTGTAATTTTAAAAATTATGATTTTGTAATTTTTTTTTAATGTGAAATCGCATTCACAACAATTCTTTATGTACTGTCACCTACCTAGCCTCAATAACATTTATTAATAAGCTCATTATATCTTAGCAATGAGAGAGAGAGAGAGAGAGAAATGGGGCATTTTTCCTGAATATTATCATTTTTTATCCTATACAAAATTAATATAGACGCAATGCAATTAATCACAGTCCTTTTATGACACACACTATCACACACACACACACACACACACACACACGCTAACACATAAAAATACATACATCTAAACGCACGCGAAAATATACAATTTATTATTATTATAGTTTCTAAACTTCCACTTTGTTTCCTCTGTGAATAATCACCTCATAATTTCCTAGATGCTCCATCTTACACTCGACCCGTTTCTCCGCTTCGAGGATGCGGTCGATTGGCATGTCCGCGTGCAGATTGCTCGTACTTTCCACCTCGCTCTGATCCCGCTCCTTGGTGCGTTGACGTTCCTCCTGCACCGCCTCTCTCTTCATCCCCATCGCCAGGCACTTCTGGTACCGGCAGTATTGACAGCGGTTTCTCTGCCGCTTGTCGATGATGCAGGATTTCTCCTCGCGACAGGCATACGACAGATCCTTACGCACGGTCCTCTTGAAGAACCCCTTGCAACCCTCGCAACTGAAAGACGAATTCATTTCAAACGTTTTGACGACGACATAACATTATAACTCTATTATATTGCGTTCTCATGCAATTACTTTATTTCAAAATGTAATTCAATTGCATTAAACAAGATTCCAGAACCGCGAATAAATAATTAATTAGGATGTGCATTCACAAATCTTGTAAAAAAATTCTCCGAAAATTTCTCAATTTTCAAAATATTTTTGTTTAAAATTCCAAATAAAGAGAAACTATTTTCAAGATTCTTTTACTGCAATTTTTTAAAATAAAAGTTTTTTGTGTGTTTTTTAATACTTTTCACATATACAAAGAAAACAGAGAAAAAACTTATAACTTTTGTAATATAAACATTTTTTGCTTGCATAACATTTTCATTTTTTTATCGCTAAAAGTTACAATAAAATATATATTTATAATATATATTTTAAAAACACACATAATTCATAATTTGATTTTTATCGACGGATTACAATATTACAATATAAGAGCAAAATTATCAAAGAGAGAAATTAAAAAAAAATTTTTTCCTCGAATTCTGAGAAAATTCATTCCATTATAATTTCATTTACATATGTATAATTCCATTAGAATTCCCTGATCTTTTTAGATAAAAAAAAACTCTGAGAATTTTCAATATTTTTCAGGAAGATTTTCCTGAAATATCCTGAAATATCCTGAAATATCCCTTTCCTAGAATATCCTGAGTTAAATTTTTTGCTTTGGAATTTAATTCTTTAAAAGTTTTTGGATTATAAGAATAAAATGGAGAGTACATATATCAATTGGGATTGAAAAAAAATGATTTGCTACATTACATAATAATTGTTCTATTATTCACTCGCGAGAAAGATGAATCACGATCGACTTTAATTCAGCGATAAAAATATTTATAGAATCATTATTCTCTTTATGTTATTTTCGCAACTTGTTTGGAATTATTCTGTTTTAGAAATCAAAAGATAACATCATTTATCAGGCAAATTATATTCTATATCTCAACTTATAACTAGTTGATTCCAGAGGTATTCTACCTTGTTACATCTTTATATATTTGCTATTATTCTATTTCAAGACAATATATATTATTTATAATAAGCGAATTATATCCTGCGCTTATTCCAAAATAAGCTTTACAGGATTGGAAAGATATAATTAAATTAATTAGAGTTAAGTTGAAAGAAGTGTAAAAATTTGATCGAGCAAATTGTATATTTATGGCCAGTATTCATAGTTTTTATATTTAAGATCGTCTTAAGTATAATCTTAAGGCATTACTTGAGATACAAAACGATCTTGAAATAAGAATTGGATTATGAATTTCGATCTATATTTCAACTTTTAGTTGATTCTAGAGTTATTATACTTTGTTACATCACAATTTTATATTTTTGCAATTATTTTATTTTATATTTTTATATTTTATATTTTTACAATTATTTTATTTTATATTTTTATATTTTATATTTTTGCAATTATTTTATTTTATATTTTATATTTTTGCAATTATTTTATATTTTTACAATTATTTTATTTTATATTTTTATATTTTATATTTTTGCAATTATTTTATTTTAGAGCAATATGTATTATTTATAACGAGCGAGTTATAGCTCGCGCTCTCATTCTAAAATAAATCACGCGATTTGATGGCTGCAGTTAAATTTTGCGCTTTAGAGGTAGGTTGAAAAAAGTGCAAAAAATTTTTCAAACGTAGATAGATATTGAAATAAAGGAGATTGTTTGGCTCCTAGCTGGGAAGGAAATGAGATTAAATCGTATCGCGCACGATAATTATTACGTTGTTCACTCGGCACTCAGGAAAAAGGTGAATCACGATCTCGATCATCTCATATTTCGCAATAGCGCGACCACTCGAATCCGCCGAACAATTTGTTGGCATTTTACCTCTCGCGACGTTCTCACCATAAGTCTCTCCCGAGATCTGCATCGGGGATGCAGAATCGGATAAAGTACCGCAGGTTTACGACTCCTCACGTGTAATTCTTACTGCGAGCAGCTGTCACACGAACAATAAGAGATTCGCGCCCGTAAATAAGAGATTCACGGTCCATTGTCAGAGGCTCACAATGTACGTGCATGCTGACGTAATATTTAATTTTGTGACGAATAATTCGAAAACATTTTTTTCTCTCATCGCACACAGCGGTCGACGATTGAATTATTGATCCAAATAGTAGCGACGCCGCGTATGCGTATCGAGATTACGTCATGGTGCGACGCATAAATTATTTACGGTAACCAGTGTTTGCTGGTATCTAGATAAAAATATCTAGATAATTATCTAGATAAAGAAATGGATCATCTTTATCTTTAACTAGATGAAGAAATACAAAGTATCTTTATCTTAGATAAAAATATATGTCATCTTATCTAAAAATTGTCTAAGATGACGTTTTCATTATGCAAAAGAGTTTTCCAGGCAAGCTTCTAAAAATCTATCTAACATATCTAAAATTTTTGAGAAACTTAAAACTTCATAACTTAAAATGAGAAAAGAACGCCGTCAAGTCTTTTTCTGTTTCTGTTCATTTATTTAAATTTACTTACTTGTACTTGTTTTATTTAAATTTGTGCAATGCATTAATGTATATTTTATAGAAATGATATATGTATTGTTACACATTGATTATTATATTATTAATATATTATAAATATATTATAAATATAAATTAATAAATAAATATTTATCATATCATTTATATACCTTTTTGTTACTATTTAAATATTCTTTAGGAAAAAAGAAAGAATATGTGTTTATGATTTTAATATCCCATTTATAATCTGCGTTACATTTTTTACAAATATTTATAGTCTTATAAAATAAACAAAAATATCTAGATAATTATCTAGATTATCTAGATTATCATGATTATCGAATAATCATCTCGTCTTTCATATAGATTAAGTAAAACAAAATCATCTTTATCTCATCTAAGATAAATTTACGGGTTTTTAACTTTATCTTTATCTAGATAATTTTGAAATTATCTACAGCAAACACTGACGGTAACGTAGTAATTTTCAACGTGAACGAAGAAGAGAAACGCCGCTCTTGTACGTCACATTTTCAGAAATCGCGAATAACATCATTCAGTCGCGGTTGTTGTCGCCGAGAGTTTCGCGATCATCAACGGCTCCATGAGTCACGGCCCGCGCTCAGGGTCGTCGTTTTTAAAAGTTTTTGGAACGCCTCCAGAAATCTCTCCCATTGGAGCCAAAAGCGACGGCGAATTCCACGGCGGAGAATTTATTTTCGCTGCAGATACACGTATATCTGCAACGTGCACGTATTTTCGCGATGGCATATTCGCGAACGATTTCGCGGGAAGCTCTACTTCTTCGCGGTTGACAACGAAACGACGCCACATATTCTAAAAACGTTATATCCTACCCAACACTGCTAAACAGAGGCATTAAATTTCGCTGTCATCCGCTGAACCTGGATAAAGCCCGCACATGTAACAGATATATACGATCTTTGTTACAAATTTACAGAGCTCACGATTAACTTCAATGATGCAAATTAAATAGGGTTGCACAAGACTCGAGATGAGATAATATTCGTCAGAATATTGCATTGGTATTGAACATTTTCGAAAACTTTGATCTTCATCCTTGTCTTGAATAAATCTTTTTAGCAAGAACCTCATCTTGTCTCGATTTTATCCACAATTTTTAATAATAATTATTTTTAATATTTTACATTTTTTACAATATTATAAATGTTATATTTTAATTAATATATTATTTAAAATACTTAATATAATCTAATAAGATATATAAGATTATTATTATTATTATTTATATCATTTGTTTACTTCTCAAGACATAATATATGTGTGTGTTTACGAAAAGGCAGTTGTGTATAGTAATATGAGAATGCAAATGCGGTTTATATACCCACAGAATTGCATACATGTGTTATGCACAAAGAGTCTTATGTAGCCAAATAGTTATAAAATTTTGTGTTTATTTTGCTGGCTGAAGTAATTTTGTTTCTAAATTTATTAACAAATAGTTTTTATTTATTAGATAAAATGTGTGTCTCAAATTTGTACATAATATCATGTGATTTTTCTCATCTAATTTATAAGTATAGATATTTTAGCTTTTTTTTGAATATTAATAATTATAAGATCCACAATCGTGATATTGTCTTGATGACTGATTAAGAATGTTTTGTACCTATTTTCAAAATATTGAGAATTTAATGAAAATTATACAAAATGTCTTTACATATGTTTAGAATCTTTAGTACAATTTTTAAATCGCTTCACTAAAGCGTTCACAAGTTATAAGAATTTTAATTTGCATCGAATTAACATCTGTTCTTATGGGAAACGTATAACGTCGATTCAAATGACAAAAACAATAATATTCAGAATTTGTTTAAAATTTACAAAGTTTAGATACAGAGGAAATATTTGGTTAAATAATATTATACAAGTACCTAACCTAACCTAACCTAACCTAAGGTTAGGTTAGGTTAGAAAAAGATATTAAATATAATTCAATGAAGTTAGCCATGTATCTGTCAGAAGGCGAAATTCTCTGCCAAAAGTTAAACATTTCGATTAACAATATTCGGAATATTTCAGTAAAAACGCAATAAATATTAAAAAATCCATCTCTGCACTGTAGATCAAATTGTAATATTTCACAGAATTTCTTATACTCAAAATACACCAAAAGTGGATATATTCGTCAATATTGATTTTCAGCTACTTTTTGCTGGGATTGTACATACAAAACATTCTTAATAAACAGCGGAAAAAAAATATTATTTCGTCTATACGTCCTCTCATTGGCTACGAATGAATCTAAGAAGCAAAATGATTCACCAATAAGATTCGTTCTAAGCATCCGTACAGGGAATTACAGTACCTTGAGTTGAAGTTAAGACATGTCGAAGTGATAGTGATAATAAATTTTATTTCGATCTTGTTTCGAATTTTGAGATCAAGACTAGTCTT